GTTAGGGTATAGGGTTGGGGCCGCCAGTGGGGGTCTGGCTAACACAAAGACCGAGACCTGCCAGTAGCTGTGCCTCCCTTTCTCATTGTCCCCCACCCTTCATCGAGTAGCAGCAGAGGCTATGGCCAACACTCTCCCACACACCACACACAACCCACTCGCGCTCACACTCACACCCGTGTTGGTCATAGACCCCGTTAATACCGATCAGGGGTATCCAGAGGACTATCACAGTCCGTTGGCACTAAGTGCGCGCAGGCGGCCATGGGCTTGAACCCACAACCTCCTGAATGCCACTTGCATGCCTAACCAACTGAGCTAGGCCGCTGGACGGTAAAGCCCGCCCAAACCTTTCCCGGTTGGTAAAAAGTGCCCGCGGACAACAGGGGGCCGTCGGATGCAGAAATCTGACGGCAGCCATTTTTTCCAAGAGGTTGCAAAACGGGTCACATGCACGGGATAATTGGTGGTCCCCGCCCACTGCGAAACCTTTTTGGTAAAGCCCGCCCAAACTTTTCCCGGTTGGTAAAAAGCGCCCATGGACAGCAGGGGCCGTCGGATGCAGAAATCTGACGGCTGAGATCGGGTCTCGACCCCTGGACTTGCTCCTTCCTACCGGATCGTGAGCCAGCGATGTATCTGTATCTGTTCCCCTTTTCGTTTTCCAGTAGACGGGAAAGGTTTGGGTGCCTTTTACCGAAAGGGTTTTGGTGTGGGCTCCTTCCACCAATTACCACTCTATACGGGAAAGGTTTGGGTGCCCTTTCTCCCAAAAACGTTTTGGCATGGGCGCCTTCCACCAATTATCCCCACATGTGAAGCCCGTTTTGCCTGGATGAATGTCCAACGAAACGGTGCAAGCCGCTACTCTGAAAAAACGGCTGGGAAATTTAAAAAAAAAAAAAAAAAAAAAAAACGGCTGGGAAACGTTACTTGTGGTTTAGAAAGAAGAAACAAACAAAAAAAAAAAAGGAGATACCTTGCAATCGACCTCCTCACTAATAATAATTATTTTTTTTTATCTGGGTTTTTTTTTTTTTTTTTTTTTTTTTTTTTTTTTTTTTTTGGCCCTTGTGCAGAACCTACCATGTGGCCGCGACAATTCAAACCATATGCATTTCTTTTTTCCATTTTCTCCAAGCCCCTCCAAGTCATTTAGAATTTTATACACTCCCCCCCAAAAAAAAGAGAAAAAAAAAAAAGAACCTTCTTTCAGATGTCTACGAGAACCTGTCATCCTTCCAGACTGTTCCACAAAGCCACTGGAAAGGGGCACTAACATCCACTTGCCTTGCGCTCTCATGTGCGTTGTGCTCTCACATCCACCCAAGTGCCTTGAGCCTTGTGCATTCACGGGCCTTGAGTATCCACTTTCGCACGTCCACAGGCATGCGTGCACAGACACACACATGCACACTTGCATGGGGTGCGCGCGTGTGTGTGTGTGTGCGCGTGGATGCATGAGCGGTAAGACCCGTGAGCAGAACGTTGGCCTGGCAAGTGGTATGTGTACAGTCTGAAATCGGTTGGTCGGTATATGAAGTTGATTTTCACAAGACGAATTTGTTAAATCCATTGGCCTAAAATCTATCAAGCGTCTAATGTGTTAAGGCACCCAAGAGCCTGGCTCAGTGGGGACCACACCCATGAACTGTTGAAATACAGACCCCTTTAAGTTCAAATCCAGATGATGGAACTTGACGAGTAAAACCAACTACTAATGAATTGCTTGGGGCCGGTCAGCTCAATGATAAGGAAGAACAGGGGGAGTTATAAGGAAGAAGATAAAAAACTGAATTCATTTTGTCTCGTTTTCCTTCTTTTTTTCTTTCTTTCGCATTTGCGCTCTGATATTTTGTGACAATATATAGATATATATTTATATGGAGTCATAAATGAAGGAGATAACTTGAGCTTTACTTTCATGGCGTCATCATCTCCTCCCCATTACGGATGTATAATAATAATTAATCATATACACTACACTGCAAGCGTGCGCACACTGCAACTATGCGTCCGACCCCGCTGGTATAATAAGAGATGGATTACCTGGGTTTTTCTTTTTTATGGGGGGACCATTTCTCGATTAATGCGTGTCATCCATAACTGTGCAGGGCCAATGCCCATGCTAATCTCTGTATCGTTCCAATTTCGCCACATGTTCGGAAAAGGTCAGAGATTTGTTTTTTTTTTGTTTTTTTTTGGGTTGGGGGGGGGAGGGGAAAGGAGGGGAAGAGGACAGAGATGGACTACCGTAGGATCAAGCTATTCAAATTTAGATCCGTGGTTAGTAGTCTGGCAGACAGCGGCGGGCTTTGGGACCGGGAGGAAAGGCCCGGGGGTAGGGGGAGTGCGGGAGGGGCGATGTTAAGACGCGACACCCGTCGGAAAGTGATCCTCCCTCCGTATTGGGCTTTTCTCTCTTTGCGCCTACTCGTCTCCTTCATTGGACCTCGTTGCAGCACTCGGCGGACGTGAAAAAAACAATGCCTACTCATTGCCGCCGAGTGTATTGTTCTACTTTTCATGGCAGAATAAAGTGGCCAATCTCACAGTGTGAGTGGTGCAAAGTGAGCCTCATTCCTTTTTTTTCCGTTTTGCAAAGTACCTTTATTTCACCCACTTCAGCTTCCCTTCTTTTTTTTATTTCCGATACCATTTCTTCTTTTTCACTGAAGACTCCCGTTTCTTCTTCTTCTTCTTCTTCTTCTTCTTCTTCTTCGTCTTCTTCTTCTTCTTCTTCTTCTTTCTTCTTCGTCGTCGTCTTCTTCTTCTTCTTCTTTGTCGTCGTTGTCGTCATCGCCGTCGTTGTTGTCTTCTTCTTGTTCTTCTTTTTTTAACGTTTTGCTTGAGAAGCATGTACGACTGACAGTTTTTACCACTGCTTGTCGCTTGTCGCTATTCTTATTCTTCTCGGATACGACCTCCTTACTTCTCCGTTAAATTCCTCATGCCATTGGGAAAAAGAATCCCTTGTTACACATAGGACGCCCTCTACTCCCTCTTTGTAACCCGCCTCGCTCGACTCATCTTGCTTGACATCCTCTGGTTCCGTTCTTGCCGCCGCTCTCGACACCTCGTGTCGTTCTTCTGCCCTTGCCGCTCTTTTTTCCCCTCCCGCTTAATCCTACACTCCTCATACCATTTTTACTACTTCTTCTTCTTCTTCTTCACTACACCTGCTGCCTCCTCTTCATCTTCACTACACCTTATTTCTTCTTCTTCTTCTTCTTCTTCTTCTTCTTCTTCTTCTTCACTACACCTGCTGCCTCCTCTTCATCTTTACTACACCTTCTTCTTCTTCTTCTNCTTCTTCTTCACTACACCTGCTGCCTCCTCTTCATCTTTACTACACCTTCTTCTTCTTCTTCTTCTTCTTCTTCTTCTTCTTCTTCTTCTTCTTCTTCTTTCTCTCCTCCTACGCCACGTCGTCCCCCTCCTCGTTGACTTATTAGTATTAGTATATATGCCTAATTATCTTCCCCATTGCTATCGCATGGGGACAGGCCAGTGGGACTCAGTTGCGGCTCTCTCCTGCCTTTCTTTTGCCTTCTTCTTTTCTTTTTTTTTTCGATTTTGCCTTCCTCAGGTAGTTCAGCTTGGCTAATCACGAAGAAGAATACAGAGCAGTCTAAGGAGGAGGAAGGGGAGAAGGAGAGCGGTGAGTAATAAGACTAGAACTGCAAGGAGGGGGAGAGGGGGGGGTAGGAACTGAAAAAGACAAGTAAAGGACAAGGAGCTACTGGCCGCGGGAAACGGAATGACTGGAGCGAAAAAATGGCAAGCCGGGTGCACGTGAAGAAGAGCTGCAGTTAACAAAACCGAAAACGAAGAAGACTAAGACTAAGAGGAAGATAAACCGGAAGGAGTACATGCAGTTAAAGAAGAATAGAATGAAGTAGGGAGACCAGTCGCCACGCTTCCACGCTTTAAAATGTCTCGAACAAGCACCTGCATGAACTTGACCATAGCTCAGAAACCCGCACATCCCGTCCAAGAAACGAATGTAGCTCAAGAGAAATTGCAAGGGAGCCAAAACGATAAAGCCGGCCGAAGAAGATGCAGGCGTACGACCGAGGAGCTGAGGAGGATCATCGGCAACCCGCAAGAATAAGAACCACCGTTGCATCTCGCACACAGAGAGAGAGAGAGAGAGAGAGAGAGAGAGAGAGAGA